CTATGTTAGAATGTTGAATATTTACTATGCATATTGTGATGATATTTTGAACTATTATTTATTTTATTATGTAAAAGAGTTTTCGACTCAATTCTACCATGATTTTATGAGTTTGCGTAGACTCTAGAATTTTAGAATCTTAACAGAACCATCTTCCAGACAGAGGCATCATCTCCCTTAGGGTAGTATGTTAATCCCTTGGTGAAAACAAGGGCAACTTGAAAGACTAACTTTGATGCCATGACATACATTTTTAAAGACTTTCGATATACTTGTTAGTTTAATATGTGTTCCATGAAATAGATCGTGGGGAGATATACTTGTGTCTAATTGTATTCAATGTGTATTCCATGAAATAGATCGTGGGGAGCTACACTATATGTGGAGTGATGTGGAGTGAAAAAACCATGTCTCAACTTTGGTGGCAACTTTGGCTAACACATTGACCAAAAAAATGCCAACACCAAACCAAAATTGTTGGTATAAATTCTGAAGATAAGCAACAGCGCTTAAGAAAATTAATTATTGAACACGTTTTGTTTTCTCTATCCAGGAAATCTTATATTGAAGAGAAATGCAAATTCGTTACTTAAGATTTATATTTTATATTTGTAGCAAATATTGAAAATTTCAAGGTCTTAAATTCAAAAGCTATTGGCTCTTGTGCACTTAACTTTGATTTTTCATAAAATTAAAATAAACAAGTGATGATGACAAAATGCATATGTTTTGCTAGAATGTCAGGTTTAGGACTACTACGACAACAACAACCAAGTTTTATCTCACTAAGTGGAATCACCTAGTGGATCGATAATGTTCTCTCATATATCTATCCAACTCATTAATTTCTATTTTTTCTTAATAGAAACTCTTAAAGTTTTTCTTGGTCTTATTCTACCTCTAGTGATTGGACTACTTTTTATTTAATCTACTCTTCTTACTACAGTCTTCTACGAATCTTCTATCTACGTGCTCAAACCTCCTAAGCCGGATTTCCACCATCTTTAATAAGATAGGTACTACCCGAACACTCTCTCTGATGTAGTAATTTCTAACCCTATCTGGCATAGTCTTACCACACAACAAACACACCATCTTCAGTTTCGATACACTTATTTTGTTCCCGTGTTGGTTCTATAACGCCTAACATTCTATTTCACATACAACATCGTCAATCTTACAGTTGTACAATAAAAAATTTGCCTTTCAACTTGAACGGTACTTTTGTATTGCATAGAACATTTGAAGTCCTTGTTCATATCAACCACTCCGCTTGAATTTGATGGTTTACACCTATTTCTCTGTAGTTTTGTACTGTGGACCCAAGATACTTCAACCGTGTAACTTGTGGTATGACATGATCTCCAACTTCCACCTCTGAGCAAGAAATGACTAGCCTTTTGCTAAAATTGCATTCCATATACTGTCTTTTTTCTGCTCAAGCGGATATCATATGCTTCCAAGACTTGTCTCCAAATTTTCAACCTCCCATTTAATTCCTCCCTCAACTCTTTAAATAGGACTCTATCATCCTCAAAAAGCATGTATCCTGGTGTTGGCTCTTGGATGTGTTCTGTAAGTATATCAAAAACTAAAGTAGAAAGATAAGGGCTTAGGGTTGACTCTTGGTGTTGTTCTATTGTTATGAGGAAATCGTGGTGTACATGCAAAACCAATGGCAGGTTTGGGACTAAAATGGAGATTTTAGAAGTGCTAAGCATTATTGCTAAGATATCTCGATATTTTATTAGTTCATAATAATACTTGCAAAATACAAAGCTACATTTGATAAAAATATCAAAACAAATAAATCAAGTGCATGAAATGTCACAAAGTTTTGCAGACGAGAATAATGCTAATTACTAAAAGCCTAAAAGGATTACGTAAATTAAGCCATATTCCCCATTTTCATGCAAAAGGAATTCAATAGAGGGTCAAATCAACAATAGTGGTAGATCGCAGCCTAAGATACATAACAACACACGCACCTGACTAACTGTAGCCACAGCAGCATGAGTCACATGAATCACATCAACCACAGCAACTACAATTCCATCTGTTTCAACCACCCACACCCAAATCAGAAAAGATATTGATGCATAAGCAAACCTCTTCCCCATCCCATATAAATTTACTTTACCTCTATCAACCACCGGAAGATGTAAAAATTTTCCATCATGCATAATATGAAGTGCATCGACGATTGGTGTATCAATTACTGTGCATTCTGGATTTGGAGTCATAACCTGCATGTTTTGTTCATATATATCAAGTGTTGGATAAAAAAGGAATGAATACTCACAATGACCACATTTTAATACACGGTATTCCTTATATTCCTTTCTAAGCATTGTTTATGCTAACGATACGTGGATTTCAAATTCAATTAATGCTCTCGTCTATTTTTTTTCTTCATATTTGTTAATTGTTAATCTACCTGTCTCTTTAATCTGCTATCTATATAAAATCATCTCTGACAAATTAGGTGAAGACACAAGATAACCAGGAAATAGTAATTGATGATATCTTGGATTTTACAGCAACGGATAAATATGAACAAAAATATTCTTTTAAAACACCAATTTAAAGGAACAAAAGAGGGTAAAAAACAGATGCTCACAAACATTACTAGATCTAAATTTTACAAAACCTAAGAATAGAAAAGGTAAACATGTGTGAGTGTTTCTAAATGGCATGGCTTGCAAATAAAACAAAGTACCTTCTCAACAGGAGTCGATGATGGTGGAAGATTTTGTGCAATTACTCGCATCAAGATATCCTTTGAACTGAAATTTGCAAGCAGATAATAACTGATCAACAGGAGTGTAAACATAAATAATGACAACTGCTGGGATGGCAAAGGAAACTTTTCAGAAAAAAGAGGACTACTGAGCTGCAGTAAATGTTAATGGCTGCACACTTACGTAACGATGCCTTGGGGTTTGCCATCAATAGTCACAACAGCACAACTTGCATGAAGCTCAACCATCTTCTTTGTTGTCTTCAAAACTGAGTCCGTTGGTGCAACTTTTACCATCCTAAAAAGTGCCATTTTCTGTTAAAGGAAATTGGTTGACAACCAAACATGCAGAGCAGACAAATTACATTTTATCTAAATTTTTCATGAACTCAAAGAAAGAAGGAATTAACTACTTTGAATTCTCAGGAAAGATTGTGGACAATGATGGTTTGAATATCTGTTCCCGAAGAGCTTCAATGAATGATGAATTAGAGTCTGCACAAAGACCGAGTTAGCCTGATATAAAACTGAGCTATTTGAAACTATGGGCCATGCAACAGTGATAATTTTTAGGGATGCTGACATTAGAAATCAAAGAGCTAAGCATGAAAATGAAAATACACTACATACCAGAATTAGTTGATCCCCAATGTTTTTCAACTCCTTCAACAGCTGCTGCAATTGCTTTTCCTTTCTCAGCAGCCCTTTCCATTCGTGCTATGGCATCATACAAACACTTAGTGATATCGAGTAAAGCCAAAACTTCTCCATTCTCCACCACAGGCAGATGCCTAAATTTCCCTGTCGGCATATATCAGCCATGTGTTAAAAAGGCAAGGATACACAGCAAAAACTTGAAAAGTTGTGTAAATCTCTATATACACTACCGACCATGCACCATCTTTTGGAGGGCTTCCACAGCAAGAGTTTCAGAAAGGACAAATACCGGATTCCTTGTCATAACCTTGGAAACATGTGTATCTTCAGGATTAATCTCTTGGGCAACAACTTTCGTTGATATATCCTTTGAGTCACAAAACAGGACAGAGAGATAGGCATGTTAAAATTCAATAAATCCAAGTGAAGTATTTTTCTTTCTTTCTTGTAAATTAGTTAGAAAAAGATGTCTTGGTCACACCTTGGCTGTAAGGATTCCACAAAGCAAACCATTAGAGTCGGTTAGTAATAGAGCATCCACCCTACGGGCAGCCATCCGACGACAAGCTTCATATATAGTTGTTGTTTCGGGTACTGTCAAGGCCCTTGAAAGTCGCAGTGATTTCACTGTCCGCTCCCCTGTCACCCCACTGTCCAATTCCATAAAGATTTAAGGTCTTATTTCATTATTTGAATTTATAAAACCCTCACTCACTTATCATCTCTTCTTTGATACTAAAGCAAAAGCTATCATAATTATGCAAACAAAATTAATTTAACTGAATGCAATTAAGAACTCATGAAAACATTCAAGCTCCTCTAGCCCTTTGTGAATCAAAAATACAGTTTCTTAAACAGATAGCCATGGCTTGGCCATATACTCCACAACCAAAACCCAGTCAAAAGAGGAAAGAAAAAGGGAAAATTTTGCATGAACATCAGCCCATATTCACTTTGTTCCACAATCACAATGTACATATGGATCTAGTTCATGAAAAAATTTCTTGAAGTAAATATCAAGACAAACCGGCAGAAGAAGTGTCTTTCAAAGTGCACTTTATCAACATACTTTCTGATTTGTTAAAGTCCTAGGAAAATTATATGTAAGAAACTAAAGAAGTGTCTCAATCTCATGAAGTTGACAGAAGAAACACCGAAAATGACCCCAAACCAGTACACCATCAAAGTCAGAGTTCTTCATAAATACTACTAAGGCATAAACCAACCATTTAAGTTGACATTGACACTTGAAAAATACACAGTTCTACAATTATGGCACCAAACAACCGAAACAAATACCTGCCCCAAAAAGTGAAAATCTCATAACAGCTACTATCATAATAAATTGCTTATATTTCAAAATAATGAGTATAATAACTCATTTAGGTTAGTTTGAGACTTAAGCACTTAAAACATAGAACAGGTGAAATCAACAATAACCATGCAGGATTAGGAATCAAATTAACCATGCAATTCAGAAGCAATAAAAACAGAGAAAGTGATTAAGAAGAACATACATAGGGCGCAAAGACGAAATAGATTTTCGAGCTGCTCCAGATTCCGATGTTCTCCTGGATGACATACTACTCCTTCGACTTGCCATTTTCCCTATTACTCTACTCTACTTCAATCGATTACACCAAACAAAACCCGATACAGATGATCAAAGAGATTATAACAATAGATAAATTAAAATCTAAGAAACTGGAAGAGAGGATAGAGCTAGTAGATACGAATTCGAAACTGAAAGAGGTGGTAGAGTTTGAATAGGGAAATAAGATAAGCCGAATTGAATATGATCGGTGAATAGGAGTTTGGTGAGTGGCCGCCGGCGGGAAAGAGGGTAAACGGAGAGAAGGAAGCGAAGAAAGAACCCTAACCAGAGGCAGGTAGCGTGGCGTGCGTGGAGAAGAAAAGATGAGAATTTCGGACAGAGAAGTTCAACGCTTTTCCGATTGGTCCAATAGGAACCGTGCACGTCAGCGTTTCCTTTTTTGTTGGGATTGGAATATTTTTTTTTGTGTGTTAGTACTGCAACTCCAAGTTTGTAAAATTCATGACTCAAAAGAAAAAGAAGCTTTCGGGGGGAAAAAATGTAAAATTCGCTTTTTTGACTTCGCCTTTATTAATCTTTAAAGCTAATAATTAGCACGTGATTTTGGTTTTGGTTTAGGTTTTGCCTTTGAAAACTCTAAAAGCACTTTCAAGTTAAACAATTTCATTTTTTTTTTAACTTATAATAAATCAATCTCTATTTTAAGAGAAAAATATTCGATAAAAAATTATTAAATTTTGAATATTAAAATCACTATAATTATTGTTTTGGGATGTTCTTAAGATAAAAATAAGACATAATACTAGTAAAATGTATAATTATTCATTAGGTTAGCTTCTTTTTTAATTTATCTTATTATTCAGATCCATGACGAATATATGCATTTTGAGGTTCCCTTTGCATTTTGTTTATAACCAATTTTTTTTATTTTAAGAGATAAATGCATCATTTCTCAAATAAGAATTCGATTTTCCATTTACTTTACACTTTTCACTTTCACAGTGACGTAAGCCTTCAAGTGTTAATCATACAGGTCAGTTTCTTTCCATCATATCGGAACTTTGAACTACCACAACACACTCCAATTCAACCTCTCTGGCCATCTTTATTTCGAAGAGCAACATCGTCCAGAAGACGGCTTTGCAAAAGCTTGTCGAGCCAAGAAAGGACCTAGAAGAGATTCAGAAGTTCCTGGACCATCGAAGACACGAGTGCCACACTCTTTTTCCCAGTCATGAAGGTGGGAGGGGTAGTCACACTCCTTTGAAAACCTATCGATCAACGAGAAGAGAAAGAAAGAAAAAAGGGGCCCATACTCATTTGAGGAAGAAGAAGTTGTTGACCATACGTATATTAGAGGACAAAATTCCCAAGTCTCTAGAGAAGCCCCCGAAACTTCATAGTTATAATGAAAACGGAGACCCTGACGAACACGTGGAAGATTGGTTAGACTATTATCATGCCGACAAAGATGTGAAATTCAAATTCTTCGCTCCCACCTTAACCGAGTCCACTCAAGCTTAGTTTAAGTCCATTCTGGATGGAATCATAGATTCTTGGTCTGAGTCATGCAAAACTTTCACCGCCCACTTTACTGCTAGAAAGAGACAACCAGGCAACGTGGTTGCACTCACCGAAGTTACCCAGGGCAAAAAGTAAATCATGTGGGCGAAAGATCGAATGAAAGGCTCAAGTGTTGGATCTTTGAGAAAAAACTTAGGTCGGATAATAAATTATGAGAAAATTTAAGGCACGAGGAAGCATATTATCTAAAAGACATGCTAAGTAGGGTGAAACCCTACGTTAACTATGAGAAAAAGTGTTGGGCGATGGAGGAAACCGAGGACTAGAAACCCCATATCTAATTGAACGTCAAAAAAGGATTTCAAGAAACCCATAGAGGAACACGAGCGAAGAGCTCGCTCGAAATTGACTCATACACTCCCCTGAACACCTCGCGAGAGAAGATTTTGACGAAGTATGCTAACACGGAATTCAAGGAAGACAGTATAAGAAACCCTTATCTGATCGGAGAGTCTTCCTATATTGATAGATCCAAATGTTGTTGTTTCCACAAAAGTCACAACACGACAACAACGACTGTAACCAGCTTAAGCAAGTGATTGAAGGGATTATCAAAAAGGGTGGCAGTTTGAACACACCAATGATGGTAAGAGGGGGCGAGAAGAATCCCCAAAGAAGAAGCAATCCCCAAAGAGAACAATCTAGGTTACGGTCAGTGGAAAAGAAAAAAAGGCAAGTAGTGGAGAAGATTGGGGACATAACGGCAAATGTCAATATATCGCCTTTGTATCTGGGGGGTCAGGTCAAGAAAACCCTCCAAGAGCACGATGAAGAGCAAGATTGTTGAGCTTATGAATGTTAACAAAAATGAAGGAAACACCCCAGCCACCATTTTAGAAAGTTCGATCCTCGAATTCTGAGACAATAAGAAGGTTAGGAGTTCCGAACGTAGTTTTTCCTTTGGTGATAACGGCTACCATCGCCAACTTCAATGTTTTATGAGTTTTTATCGATAGTGGCAGCTCTTGTGATATCATGTACGCATATTTTTTTCTTAAAAATAAGGTTGAAGAAAGAAAAAGTGTGATCGTATGAGGGATTCGACTTACAAACCTTTAATGGTAGTATGACTCGTCCTTGGGGGTACACTGAATTAATGGTCACCTTAGGGGAAGAATACCAGAACTGTAGACTCCCAATTATTGGTCGTCCCATGCCGAAACGTCTATAACTATATCTTAGGTTGACTCTTTGCAGCAACATTGGACGCAGTAGCTTCCTCAGTCAATCTAAAGCTAAATTACCATAACGTGCATGATTAGGCAGTCACCATCAGCGTCGACTTGTTTGGAGCAAAGAGGAATTACCAGAATTTGCAGTAGGATAAGAATGAAGGTGGGGCCAAGGCCATGAAAATCAATGTGCCCTCGCTAATTGAGCAGCTTAAAGGTATGGTCATCCAACCTCTAACTATGAAAGTTTTAATGAGCCAAAGTGGCTAACATAAAGGAAAATTGAGAGTAGTCAGCGTCGACCTCTTTAGAGCGAACAAGCGGTGGCAAGGCCACCTTGTTAGATTAAATTCATATTGCCTTCATTTTAAATAAAAAGATTTGCATACATAATGTACTATGATTTTTGAAGTAAAGAAATAATTTTTTCACTAAATTTTCTTTTTTTTCTTTTTTGATCGTGAAAGGTAATGGCAAAAATGAGGTCTGATCAGAAGGATCGAAGCCCCATCACAAATACTTGAGGGTGTTATCTTAAATGTTGGCGGTGTACGATCAAAGTAATAAAAATCCCAAAACATGACATACAAGCACAATAAAAGCAAGCCTACAAATGGCAAATAACTGTCTAACCCCTTATTGGTAGCTAGTCACTCCATAGGTCGTGGTAGGTCTGCCAATAAGTCTATCTCGAACCAAGTTTACATTTGGGGGCATGGGAAAGGATATCATCCTTTGATTGTGCATGCTCCTCAAAGATGTCTAATAAACTCCAAGCAAAAAAACCCCGAGAAAAAGGACGACTCCTAGAGATAAAAATTTAGGACCATAAACAGTGCCACAAAGCATGTATTTTCCGAAGAAGCAATAATATACATACATACATACATATATATATATATATATATATATATATATATATATATATATATATATATATATATATATATATATATATATATATATATATATATATATATATATATATATATATATATATATATATATATAAACTAACCATCTAAAAATATCATATGTCTGCTTTTAATAATTTGGTTAAGGCGGACCTGCTGTCGCGAAATGATACCAATTGGATATAAATGTTTCATTATCTGAAGCGCATTTTCAAAAGTGTCTCTAATCACAGAGAAACCATCCTGTAGTGACTTAGCAAACTCTTTAGAAAGAGAATGATTCTCCACACCCATGTTGTTAAGGTTGGCCTCAGCTTTTTATTGATTCTCTTGAGATTTTTTCAAAGCCTTTTCCAATTCCTCGTTGCTTTTTTGGACAAGCTCCAAGGACCGATTCACCTCTTCTAAAGTCCCATCCTTCTCGGATATTCCCATAATGAGTCATTTCAAACATAGAGTCAAGATACCCAAAAGGCTCCAAAGCGGTTTCTAGGGCTATAGATAGGTTGGAAGCACCATGGACCTCTTCCCAAATACTTGTTCTGCTCAATGATAAGATCATAACTCTTTTGTTAAGTTTATACCTCTCCTGAAGAAGAAGTTCGGGTAAGAAAACTTCTCCTCAACCGACAATGCCAAAAGCCAGAACAGTTGATGCCTAACACGCGTGATTTTCCAGGTCGACTAGTTCCTTTTGACAAACTTCCTCAAAAATCTCCAAAAAGTAAGAACAATCCTCATTAGATATGGGGAAAAAATTTATATACATCCTCGGACTTGGATGGGCCAGCAACATAGGGTTAGAATCCACTCGTGCGTAGGTCCACCCGTCTATAGGTTGAGGTCAAAGAAGCTTGCAAAGGGGTCCCTCATTTGGAACTTCCCTCTACTATGATAGGAATATAAGAAGCTTGAATATCACTCGCAACCCGAGAGGTAGCGACCTAGTTAATATGTTCGACCACCAAGACAAAAGAGGTTCCGACAGGTGTTCTAAAAGTGAAAATTTCCCTTGAGGATGGTGTGTTAGGAACCCTTAACAAAAGAAGTAGCGGCTTAAATTTTTGTCTTTAGCTGCCACATATCATCTTCATTCTTCATAGCATCTACAAAAGCAAAAAGACTTCAAAAGAATAATGAAATAAAGAGGTAAGAGGGATAAATCATGAAACCATCGACAAAATATTTTCTCCCTTTCATTCTTGTAATTAACATACTCAAGCCAACAGGTTTGGATACACCTTTTTAGTCGTGTCCAGAAAGCCAAGTCAGACAAAGTCAATCTACATGACAAAGCCCCCAATGAAAGGGCATCAGCTAATTTTTTCAGGTATAACTCTTCCTCAAAAAAATCTTCCTCCCGATAGTGATACATCTC